TAGTAGATGTCCGGACGTTCTGCTTGCCAAGCACCAACTCAAGCAGCCTAGCAGCCTAAGCCTCTACTCCAGCAAATCTTAATTAAGCATGACTTATGGTTGTGTGCTTTCTTTTTTGAAAATTTAACGCTTACAGAGAAAGTAGGAAGAACAAGAACTGGATCGATGGCTCAGGCACTGGTGCTGCTACATGTTGCTTGACAAGCAGGGGAAAACCGCGAACAGACCAAAATGATCCAGTTGCCCACTTTGCACCATTCTCGATGCCCGGCTTGCCAGCTTATTCTTTGACAGCTCAATTCTCTCGCGATCAAAAACCAGTCTGTGAATGTTGCGCCTGGGCCGTTTGGTGCGTGGCTTAGGTCCGTTGGCAGGGAGTACTCCCAGAGCGCCATCGATTTCCACTGGATCGCTAGACCTTTAACAACCGACTCAACTCTTTGAACGAATCAGGACGGCCGCCCGCCCCAACGTCCTTTTGCACTTTCTCCATGGTTACTCAGTCGGCCAGCCTGATTCGAAGCCGGGCAATCAATGCCGCGATACGACATGATACGACTCAGAGGCTTGCTGCCTCCGGTGAGTGTTGCGCGAAAGGCGCCCAGCTATCATCCAACTCGCAGATCGCCCGCCCATCGCACAGTGATGCAAGTTTGTCTTTGCAGGGCCGTTCCGAGGCAAGAGTTGACCAAATTCAGAGTTAGAAAGTTAAAGTTGGTACCATCTCGGTGTCCCGCTCACTCCGACGGAAGAGCCTTCGGGATATCTCGGAACAGCCTTGCTTCAATACATCCGGAAGAGCCATGGGCAGAAGTGGCAACCCAGTCGCGCTGCTCCGATCCTCCGCGTACCTGATTTTTCAAGGATGTGTGAAATGGACTGACCAGGGACATGGAGTGGTTTTTTTTTAGGCACACAGGCGAGGAAATCAGATGTTTCGCTGGTTAGCAATAAAGCAGAATGCAACTACCATCCGGGACTTTCACATAGCTCGAAATGATAGAGAGAAAGAAAGGGAGTTCATTGATGAGCTTGTTGTTTAACCTTACCTTGCGTGAAACCATGCAACCATGATATGTTCGGGTACATGTTCGGAGTTCCAGGCGTTGAGTTTGGACTTCCAATGCCATGTTTGGTTGGGAAGGAAGGCGAGGGGATGGAAGGAAGGCAGGAGGCTGTGTGGCTGTGGGTGTTTGCGGTGAGGTTGCTTTGTCCAGGTACAAGTTCACGAATATTTCATGTATTTGTGCAAAGTGGTGCGTGTACGTGGTCCCGCGCAGCAGCACCCTGCCAGAATGTTGCATCGTGCGCCCCACTCCTTTTTGGCAGTTAGAACCCTGAACATTTGAAGAAATGTGGCTTTCTGTTCGCCTATGGCTGTCTTTTGACGAGAGAAGGGGAATCTTATTTGTTTGCCTCCGTGGCGCAACGCAACTTTTGATTGAAGATGTTGGGATGAGGCCCATTCGTTCCCGGCGAGGAGACGCTAGGGTGCCTTGCGCAGGTAGGACAGACATCCTAAGCAATTGTAGGAAGCTAAGCCGCAGCGGCCTTGTTTTCTGGCCAGGGAAGGTGGGCGTCCAAGATTGATTTTACTCCCCGACATCAAGCTTCGCCACATCCCCGAACTCACATGCCTGCAGTCAAGTGTCGCTTTCCCCTTGATTTGCTGGCACGGGTTTCAACTCGCAATTTCATATGTGCACGCTTTCGCCTGGCTCACGGCAGTCCCGAGAATCGGCTACTCCGAGGCGGGCTGCTTCTTCTACCACGACGATGTGTGCGAGCTGCCGAAGCCAGATTTGCCTATTGCCTTTTGGCTGCTTCTTAGGAGGAAGGCTGCTGGCGAAGCTGTTGTTTGTGCGCCATTTTCATGGCAAGGATTGTTCTAGCAGAGGATGTCACTAGCAAAGTCTTGACTTGCTGAATAGGCGGTATCGAGCACGCAAAAGGTCGTTACCATGCATGTCATGCAAGTCCCAAAGGCTGGCTGGAGAGAGTGTACGCAGTTTGGCCAGCGAAATCGAGGATTTGCTGATTGACAACACTGTCTTTCAGAATGTCTTCAGGACTGCGACGGGCAACGAAGGCTTGAGCAACAAGCCAGCTGAGAGCAAAACAATGGTGTTGGCGCTGCCTGGCCCACACGCAAACGAAATCTACAACTTGATTCTGGGGCGCAAGCAGTGAGTGTCAGCTGGCTTGTTGAAGACGGGGTTTCTTGAGATGAGTCGGGGTACCTTCAATGAGCTCACGCGATTTGGCGAGGAGCGGGCGCCTGGAGCCATACCTGGACTCCTTGTCTCGGATCTCTCAGCCAGGCGGGCCGATGGACCAGTTAGCATCCTCAAACATTCCCTCTACATGGTGGCTTGGCTGACAAGGAACCCCCCCACCCCCCAACAAAAAGATAGTGATTTGGAGAATCCCATCAAACTGTTCACTTTAATGAGCCCAGATGTACTGCAAAACAACGTACTCTACTCTACAGTTATAGCCAATTTTGGGAAGCGTTTGCTACTGCGTTCTTTACGCTAATGTGAGAGAACACTCAAGCAATGAGTTCCAGCAAGTTGCATGTGATATGTTGCGCCACGCGTTAGCGCCTAAGACAAACGTGATTTCCTGGCATATACTCCCGTGAAGTTCTTGCTCAACATGTCACATCCCAACATGGGAAAATGGGTTTCCAGTGCGGCAGGACACACGTGGCGACCTCAGCGCCTGCTTGTTAGCTTTGCTGACGCGATGCGCGGTCTCATTGGCGACCTGTACTCGGTGCTGCGGTGATGCAGTAACTGACAGCTGCGGACGGTCGCGATGTAGAGTTAACCCACACAACAGCTGTTCCCCCCCTCCCCCTCCTCCCCCCTAGGGGTGGGGTGGGTTTGCCTTGTTTGTTTCGTTGTTGGGATGTTGAGGTTGGTAGGTTCCCCGCACGACATCTTGGCCCCAGGCAGCTCCATCTCAATCTGATGAGTAAGGAGGGCGTGGAGAAGCGGCCGCAGCTTCTTGACTGAATTGTTGTGGGTCACTCCCTGCAGGAATGCCCAGGACGCTACGAGATGGTGGGCTGGTGAGGTGGGGAGAGAGAGACCAACAAAAATAGAGCGCCCACCTTGGTTTCAAAAACATGCGAGCCATGAAGCGCCAGAGGCCAGGTTTGTTCATTCCGCAAGATGCCCTTGGAATCGGTTACCCCATTTTTTTGCTGTGAGTGCGCCAAGGTTCCGGGAAGGCATGGAGCTCCTTGGCAAGGGAGGACCTGACGGGTGGCGGGTAGCTGCCGTGGAAATCAGCATGCCCACGCTTGATGGCAAGCCCACCTTGGAGTGAAGTAAGTTGCACCAGATGGCGCCATTCAGAAAGACTAAGTAAATGAACAAAGAAGCTGATCGTTTCTAAGATCCACCGTTTGCTGAAGGTAATTGTAACATGTAGTTTTTGACGCCAAGGCGCTCTCCCATCATTCCCGCTTCTTTTGCAAACTGCTACACGGTTGCTTGAACATACTTCTTGACCTTAGCTGCTACACCTGCTGGACTGAGCAGCCAAGGTACCTAAACCTCCCATTGCTGACCCAGGATGAAATCTGCAACGCGCTGGTTGGTTGGGAAATCGTGCGATGCCGCGAGGACTGGCTTTAGGGTTGCTGGACGCTCTTGACAACTGTTGGGTAGGCTTGGTTACTGTTGCCTGGTATGGTCTAGGGAAGTTTACACAGGTGCCCGTAATGCCGCTGCCAATGCAAGCAAAAATACTAAAGGGATTGCACTTGTTGAGTTGACCGTATCGTAGTTGCATTTGCTTGTTCGCGGACGGCTTTGCAAGTATGGCCTGGTTCGAGTCTTTGGCGTTTCTGATAAAGCTGAAGCACTCGCTTTCTGGACCAGGGCATTGGCGCCCATGGATCAGCCCAGGCAAGCCAAAAGAGTCAGCAGACCGGTGGCGTCAGCAGAAATTATGGCCTGAACTGCCCACATGACATGCTGACAGCGATGTTACAGCGGCCATTCGGTTGTTGAGGGCATGTTCGGCTAATTTGTTATCAGCCTGCAAACCTCAAGCCAGTGAGACCCCCAACACTCATCCCGATCAATGTAACATCCACCGCCCTTCACCTTCTAAGCGGTTGACTTACAAATGACGAGAGAGACTTCAGGTTCGTCCCTTTCTATCTCCGGGATGGAAAGGTCGACCAGGTCGTTGTTTCTTTCACTCGGCAGGGCCATTACGACTTGAAGCCGGAGGGTGCTGGCTTTGAGTGCCGCATGGCACGAAATCATTTGACTGCACTGCCTGGTGGTATTTTTCATTTTAACCGCCCCCTGTTTAACGTAGAGCGAGCTGAACAAAGAATGTTTTCGTTGTTGGGAAGACCTGCAGAGAATTCCCTGATGCAAAATCAAGCGTCATGTGGATGCTAAGATGCTCGCGCATCTCATGCAGATGGGCGGAGGCTCGAGGTTAACCTTTTGTTTTTTGAGGCTTCATCACCCTACAGCACCCTAAGGCTCTTTTCAAAGAGCTCGTTGTTTGATGGTTATGAGCCGCCCAGGTGATGCCTTCTACTCCTTAGGCGATCGGCCTGGGTGACTTGGCAGCACAGTGCACAAGTTGGTTCGTTGGTTGGTTGGTTGGTGTGTGCCCAGCACTTGCCACGGCAAGTCTTGGTGAGGAAGTGTTCCATCGTGGAGTTACTATGTGCTATGCCTCCAACGCCAGGTGATTTGAAAGCTGCGTTGGATTGGGACAAGCCAAGCAAAAACCAACATGCACGTTCTTTGAAACAAACGCCGGACCTTTCGAACGCCCAGGATCCCTAGCTGGTGCATCCTCGCTACCAAGCTTTGAGTTGGCTGGCAAACAAAGAGCTGCGGCCCGCCCGGTGAAAAGCGGCGCACTGCTCACGTCCGAGAATGGCCATCTTATAGGGTGCATGCGTTTGGCAGGGTCCATACATTCAAGGTGTGCGGCTTACTGCAGTTTTGCCGAGCAAGGTTGCTGAGAGCTGCCGGCATAGTTTGACGCCACTTCCCGAAGGAAAGGTAGTGAGTGGGGTGATGCGGGCTTTGGTCGCTCAGGCCAAGTTTGTTGCAGCTGCTCATGCCAACAGCAACTGTTGCAAGTTTGTTGACAAGAGTTCCTCTGGTGGAACACCCTTGTCCAAATCCAAGATTCGTGGAAGAAGCAAGAAACAACGTTCCCGGGCTTGGGCGCTGTCTGCCAGGTGGGCGAGCTCTTCCAGACAGCCGCAACTTGCAGGGTGAGCGTTGCGCTCGGAGCGGTAGAGAAGCTCCAAGCTCCCTTGTGCTTCATGGGAACAGGGTTAGGAAACGAAATATGAAGGACTTCCGTTGAGTATGCCTTTGGACGTCTCATGTTTGGAATTTAAGGCTAGTGAAGTCCACCCAGACACTAAGACTTGGCTGATCTTTGCACCGGGCGGAACAAAAGCGACGCCTTGCCGCAACCACGGGATCGGACGCCAGTCCAGTGACCACTACTTTGGGGGGTCCCTAGAAAAGACCCCCACGGGGTTTCAACTCAACAACAAAAGCTGCCGATGCTTTCCATTTTCCAGGTCAGCACTCCACATGGCCTGCGACGCTTGCAACCTCGAGATGGCAAGGCAGGTGGAAAATGAACTCGTTTTCCAAGAGCCCAGCCTTGTGCCCCGCAGCTTCTTCTTGTCGTTTCCTCCCTCTCTGTCTCTCTCTCTCTCTCTCTCTCTCTCTGAGTTGCCTCAGCTTGCAAGCTGGATATATGTGATGGGTGTTGGGTCAGTGCCTGGATGCGAATTGGTGCTGCAAAGATTGGTGGCATCTAGCAAAGTGTTGACAGCCATTCCGTCAATTGGGATTGTTGTCTGCTGACATCACATAAATGGCGTATTTTAGAGCTGGGTCCCTGAAACCTCACAAAGCGCAGTTGACAGTGAAGTTCCAACATGTAGTTTTGCATCGGGCCGGCGCTTGGCATGAGCATGTCTCCATGACTGCAAGGTTGCTGCTAAGTCTAATGTTAACCCCGGATTAATAACCCCCTGATTCATTACTAGGAGGGTGTCCCCTTTTAGTGGGGATTCATCGCTTTTGGAGGGAACACCCCCCTAATAATGGGACGGGTCTCTTAATCCTGGGTCAGCATTGTGGAGTTCCGTGGCGTTTGCGAGGCTGCTTCTGTCTTCGAGGGCAGACCCCAGGCACTGGCCCAAATGCCGTTTCATCCATTCGACGCCTTCACTCACCCTCGACGCTGCAGAAAATGATCGGTTGTTTTTTCCTCAATTCGGCAGAGCCGATCTTAATTCGGTTGTTTTTCCTCAATGCGGCTCTTTATGTCTCAGGGCCGCAACAGAGAGCTTGGTCATTGTTGCTGTGTCTGGGAATTCATCTTGTGTATGCACAGGGCACCTCCCCTCAAATTGTGAAGTGCTGCCAGAGAGCGCAGTGTTGGCAGACAATTATACACGTTTGGAGAATGCTTTAATCTATCCTCTCCTTTGTCAAAAATGGCAAGCATTGCGATTTCACGGTCATTGCGCAAAATATTCACGGTCAATGGGTTTTACAAATTTCCGAAGTCGAAACTAGCAACTCCTGTGAACGAAAGGCAAGCAAATCTGTCAGTCAGACCCATGCTTACAAACGTGGTGCGAATTTATCCTACATTCAAGTCAACAGAACAGCTCTGACCTTCCTCGGCAACACGTCCAGCTTCGGCGTCATTTTTTGACGCCGAAGCCGGACATGTGCGCCTAAAAAAGTATCCATGTAAGAGTGAAACCTTGCAAAACCTCATCGATGCCGGCAAACAAGATCGGCCTCGTACTGCACAAACGACTGCTCCTCACACTCTCGCACCCATCGATCGAGTATGTCAAACACAAAAGAGCCTCTGGGTGGGAATTGGGCGAGACGTGAACGCTCGAATTCTCAACCGGCAGAATGTGTGCTCCTAACAGTCGCCCGCATTCAATTCCCATAAGCATTTGCTGCAGTTGGTTGAAAAGACTGAGGGCCTAGGAGTTTCGATCATTCCGAAGCCTGGCAATGTTTAACTAAGCCCATGCTAATTCAAATTGGCTGAGGCTGGGCGACCTCGAGGGCAATCGGGCTGGGCCTGCCCAGGGGGGGGTTGTCGGCTGGGAGCGTCCAGTACATCTCAGTCGGATGTTTGAGGTCGCTCCGCGAAGGAAGTTTGCAAGAAAGAGCTTTGTGGCCGCGGGTCAAGCAGCATGTCGTGACAAACCCGCTGACCTGTTCGACTGCCTCCAACAAGTCCGCCATGCCTGAGACCATGTGTTGCCTTCAGACTTGGATGGCCTAGCATGCCTAGCCGTGCACGGGCCGAACAGAGATTCCCTATGACCCATTGTCTTTTCGGCAGGTGGATCAACCACCTTCCGGACATGGTTTCTTGAGCATACTGGACATGACACCAAAATTGGCCCGTGCCGTGTGGCGTGTCACGAGTGGGACGACCGAACCCCAGTCGGCTCGATCCGGCTGAGAGGCCCCGGGAATGCGAGCTGCGCAGCGTCGCGCTGCCTGGCAGAGGCCTCAGTCTGCCACTGCGAAGGCCGAGCGCCCGAGCCGAGCCGAAGTTGCTTGACATGGCTCTTGTTTTGCCTTTGCAGCAACGGGGTATTGTGATACGGCTGTGGCTCAAAAGCATGTACCAAAATCGCAGCTTGGTATTGGTAAGTGCCACCAAAGACTAAACAGCACGTGACCCTAGCTCTTTGATTTTGAGCCACGCCCATACTCAGGTTTTGGCTGCTAGTCAATACTGGATGCTGCGCCTTGCGAGGTTGCTTTCTGCATCTTTGCGGCAATGTTGGCACTAATAGTGCCTGGATGCCAGGATTGCAAAGAAACAGAGTGTGGTCTTACACAAAGATACACAAAGTATGGGGCCGTGAAGTGCTCAACAGGGATGCGTTGCCTGGGCCCGAAGTGCTGAATCCAAAGTGCTGCCACCAGAGGTCTCAAAGCAGCCGCCAACTCAGCTTCCGGCGGCACCGAGAAAGCCGTGACGCTCGGTGCTCGCAGTGTACTATGCTTGTTGGGCCTTGGGCCAATGATAAGATAGGCGTACCGGTGCAAGTTTTCCAGCCAGTGCTTGCTCCCTAGCTTCCTTTGCTTGAGCATCTTTGCTTGTGATTCTTCGGCCTGCTCGCAGTAGGGGACGATGAAGACAGTTTCACTGGCACGGCTACACATATTTCGGCAGACATCCCGCATTTGTCTTGCAATAGTTAGGGGCATATTCTAATCATATTGGCAATCGCACTAGCTGTTCTTTTTGCGAGTGACCCAAAGGGGGTGGCATGGCCGTTCAGCACTCGCTGGAGCATTTTGAATACTCACGTATGTCTATAACATAATGTGATACATGTACATATCATCACATACGTAGTAGACATAGATCAGTACGTCCATTCATGTCTACTCTGTTTCTATGCATGTATGCATTTATATATATATATATATATGCTTGTGTCATTGTGTCATTATACAAATCACACATATGTACATTCACGGACCCAGCTCGATTCTTGCTGCCGAGGGCTACAGCATTATTGGCCTTGTTGGTCTGGACCCTCCTCATTCGCCGCCGCATGTCTCCCACTAGCCCTGTGAAGTTGAAGCGTCGAGGGCAGCATGTGTTTGTCTTCTAAAGTTGTTTGGCCAGAATTGCCACCATGTGGGTGTGGCGTGCATGTTTCAATCGTGGGATGATTCCATCCATTTTTCCGGAATTTTCCATCCGTCCGGAATTGGGAAATCACGCGTTAAGCAATCCAGGTGTCCAGGCGCCCAGGTTTGTAGGCCAACATTCAGCATGTTGTGGCACCTGAGGTGCAGCAAAAGCTGCTGGGGAGAGGCCTTCGCAGGCGCGTATTGCCAGGAGAAAGGGGGGGCACGCGAAAGAACGGTGCCAGTCTTCGAGGTACTCCAGCATCGATTTTTGAACATGGTCCTGCAAACACAGCACAGCAAGACAGAAAGGGGCGAACACAGCGCCGAGATTTTGCCGGTTCAGCCGCATTTAGCAGGTGTACTTCGAGAGAACCTGTGATTCCTTCTCAGGCTGAACAGGGCTTGCCATCACGCAGGTCCCCGTTGTCATTTCCACCTCAAATGGCTAACAACTATCGAAATGAGCCTGTGCTGCGGCTTCACACGTGTTGACAGGCACAGCCAGGTTGCCGCCTGTCAGGCGGTTGCAGAAGATGGGTAGCACGGTAATGTACAGCGCTGCTCCCGCTCACGGGCTGCTTCTTTTGTTTGATTTCAATGTCTGTGTGTGTCTTTGAGGCGTCGCTGCTTGGATATGTCCGATGGAAGTTGGTCTGCTGCTTGTTGCGGCTCGCTTCTGTGCAGGCGAAGCAGACGGAGCCTGGCGGTGCCCTTACAAAGTGCTGATGCTGGTGGTGGTGGTGGTGGTGGTGGTGGTGGTGGTGGTGGTGGTGGTGGTGGTGCTGGCGGTGAAGGTGATGCTGATCTAGGAAATTGAATGGCAGGAAGGGGTGCAATATTATATTTGTGAATTGCTGCGAGGTGATTGGTTTGGCAGTTCCCCTGGCGGTCAGCTTCATCTAGATAGTGCTTAGAGGCGGTTGTCATTTTGGGCCCGCGCTGCCCTTCCACGTTGAGCCTCAGAAGGGTGCGCAGGAAGACTGTTCTCAAGTTAGACTAGCTGCTAGGTCTCCATCAATCAAAGGACGGTTCTCCCCTCCTCTCCTCAGGATGCCTGAACCTACTTCTCAGAGTATCTCAGAGTTATTCTTTTCACAACGCTACTTGATGCTCCTCAAAATGCACTCTGCCTGTCCTATCCGAGTCTACCTGGAGCGCCACCTCGAGATGGTGAAGGCGCCGAGCAGGGAGCCAGTGGTGTTTCCCAGGTTCAAGTGGACACCCCCACTGTTTGGGGGGTCTATTTCAAGCGGCACGCCGGTTGTCTCAGACTGAATCATGCTCTTCGGAGCTTGGGCTCCGGCTGCCGGACTGCACTGACAGTCGGCGGAGGTTTGCCTGGAAGCGATGGAATGCCAGGACCCTCAGCTTCTCGCAGAATCTTGTAGGTGTCTGAATGGCTCTGTTTCACCTGTGAATGGAACTTTCTGTTCTGGAGTTCTCCATTCCTTTGGCCCTGGGTGAAGGTTTTTATGAACAGGATATGTGTAGGAGACTTGTACGGCGTAGCCTGTGGCCCGTGAAGGTGGCACGGAGTCATCCCGGGGAGGGTTACTCTTGGTAGATGCCTTTTTGCCCTACTTGACCCGCTGATCCTTCAGGTTGACGGGCTCCCTTTGACGCTTCATGCTGCGACACACTTTTACTTGGCTAGGGTCACTGGTCACTCACCCCGATCCGGCTTGCGACCATAACCACAAGGGAAATGTAGCCCAGAGCCGCACACCGAGGCTGGGATCCTGGCGAAGCTGCGGCCAGAAGCCTCTTGGACAGCTGCGGGCAGCCGCTCGTCAACGGAGTCTGTCGGTTTTAGATGCCCCAACAGGACCTAACACAAGAGCCTCCAAAGTTGACAGATTCAATCCGGGTTCGATCCATTCTTCATAATGTTGTCCTTGCTGCTGCAGTCACTTGTTGTTTCTGGAATTGCGCTTTGCCATAGTCTTTCAGTAGCTGAGACAGCTTTTTGTTTCGCAGGCAGGCAGATTCAACGATGTCCAGCCCACTGAGGACTGGATTGCACGTCGCTGCGGCTGCAGGTGACCTCGAACTCTCCAGGCACATCGCAGCTTGGCACAGCCAGCGACATAGATAGTCAAATCAACGAGTTTCCTTTGTGCGTTGTCATTTGCTTCATTTGCACTATGACAGCTTGATTAAATCAACAGCTGGTGCGAGTGCAATGCCAATGCTTTGCAGCCTGCAGCTCACTGCCGCAGGTTGCTGCTTGATTTCCAAGCAGCCGTGAACTGCGGAGAGCCCGCGCCTCGGAGCGGTTTGTTCCGTGGAGTCGCCGGGTGCCGTTTTTGATGGGAGCATGTGGAGAGGCAAAGGAGGCGAGGATGTTCTGCATGATGCAAGAGGCTTTGCTCAGGTGTTTGGACGGCATGCCCTGCACTCAGCACAAAGCATTGCAGGGAAGATGTCTTCTTTGGTATGCTCGGCACATCTCCGTACTTTGGGGCTGGCAGATTATATTCAGCTAGCAGCTGCTCAAGGTTTGGATGAACCTCCGACAGTGTTGCTTGACAGCCTGGCAAAGCAGAGGGTTGAAGCTTGGCCCCCACACACCCACCTTTGCCATAACTCTTGCGGCGCAGCTTTGCATCGGGCTGCCGGATGCACTGCTTGCCCAGGACGCCGCTGATGTTTGCCGTGCGTGCGGGCGTGTCCGCAGTTGTAGCAGCCGCCTCAGGAAGTGATCAGGAGATAGCATGCATGTCCCTCGTGTTTAGTTGAAGGGGGCAGTCCAGTGGCCAATTGAAACACCCCGCGTGAAGTTCGAGATGCTGCACAGCAAGGGTTCTGCCACAGCGGCTAACTTACCTGATGGTTGTGATGGTTTCTTTGCTTCTTGTTTTGCAAGCCTCGTGCTTGAGGCTGCCCTGCAAGGCAGCCTTTTCTGTGAGCTTGGGTCTGTGCTGTGTTGACCCCATCCCTATGACCCATCCTTCCGTTCCTTGCTTCCAGGTGAAATTACTTGGCGGCCAGTCAAACCAAGAGGGGGGTGGTCAAGAAGACTGCCCCCTTTTGACACCAGCCTCTTACAGAGGCTAGCAGAAAGGAAGCCGAATCTTGGCAACTCACCACGGAGCAGACGTATTCCGTATTCCTGTGCTTTTGCCTCAGGTACGGTGCCTGCTGGATGCCTTAGCCGTCCCGGCCCCAAAGCAAGTAAGCCAAGCTGATTAAGAGGGCGCTCCAGGCAGCGCGTTGGTTGCATTTGCAGATGGGTGCATGCCGTACCCTTCAAGATGTTGAGCTTCCGGGCCAATGGTTTTAGCAGCTTTCCAGTGTTCCCTCCAATTTGTGTTGGCTTAGTATCGTTAGTCGCTCGTTGGAAGCCCTGACATTTCTGAATTTTGCCAAGCGGTTTTGCCAGACCCATACAAGCAAAAGCACAGCCTGCATGACGGCAAGGAGCCGGATCCATGATAGTGAACACGGGCGCACACGTGGTTTGCATACACATGGGTATGGCTCAAAAAACAAAAAACAAAAAAACAAAAACACCACAGTTACGCAGGTTTTAGTCTTCGGATCCATTTACCAAGGTGCCATTTTGGCACCACTTTTTTGAGCCACAGCCACATGCAGAGGGTTGTTCTGAGGACTTGACACTGCAAGATGCCGCTGGAGGGCCCCGGCCTCAAGTCGCTGAAGCAGATGGGGCAGAAGGGCCCCGTGGCTTGGAAATTCTCGAAGACGTGTTCTGCATCTGAAGACGGCAGCTGCAATCTGACCCAAGTGGCAAAAAGGCGCTGCGTGACACCGCCAGCTGAACGGTCTTGCCAAATGCTTATAGCCTCTCCAGGAGAGGTTTGCGTTGTGTGAGGTCTGCCTTGCACTACGCGGCGGCCTGCGGTGATGCTGCTGCCGCCTACCTAAATTCTTCGCAATGTGCACGACATATCATATTTGTATAATACTTGCGACTTCCGGAGTGTACATTTTGTTGCCGTTTGGCGAAAAGGCATATATTTTTCGGTTTCGCGAAAAAAGCGCCGTTTGCCTAAAAAACAACCGTTTCACAAAATACCACTTCGAAGCCCGTCCAACGGTCGGAAAAAGTTGCCGTTTGGACAGGGACGGGACAAGTTGCCGTTTGGACGGGCAAAATCGCGGTTTTGATTTGGCAAGCGACCGCCTGCAATATTCAACTTGCAAAAATGTTGTTTCGCAAAAGATGTGCCGTCTCGATGGAAAACATTGCTTTTAATCAAACAGCAGAAAAATGTACCCGCCGCGAAGCCATAGGTATGCTATGGGGGGGCAGTGGCTGGCCTGATTATCCGCATATCTCTTGAGCTTTGTTGACAAGTCATGCGTGACTTCTCAGGTTGCAGACGCGGCCGAGTTGCTGAAGAGACGAGCTGAGGCCGATGGGTGGTGCCAAGTTGTATTTGGCTACCCTGTGCCGCAAATGAACATTGGGAGGGCCCGTCCATAGATCTCAAGATGGTCATGTTCCTGGGCCCTTGCAGGCCAATGCTGCGGACGCGAAGGGCGCCACGCCCCTTGCGCTAGGGCCCAAGCAATCGCAGATGCACGGGAGCTGCGCAGGCAAGAATAAGCAGACAGTGCAAGAATCCAGACATCGTGAGCGTTCAGAATCGCATGTTTTGGCCTGCCTTGGACTCTGTGACATGCGGCCCCCGCGCTTTTGCCAAGGCTCGCAGCTCTGCTAGGTGCGCCAAAGATGATGCGCTTCCTTCTGCGGCGAGGCGCTTTCTTTCTCCAAGGGCCAGGGTGTAGACAGTGGGGGGATGTGTCGGCTGATGCCACGTTGGTGTTGGAACCTGGGCACTTGCCCTCAAGTACTTGCAGACATCAGGAGTTCAACGAAGCCTGCCAAACAAGTCGCTGCCGAGTCACAACTGTCATCACATTTGACTTGCCACCAACGTTCTTTTTCGTCGTATAGTGGGAGAGATGTGTAAGCTGGGCCCAACTGAGCTCAGCCAGCACAAAGGCTTGGTCGTTTGAGGGCTGATTGAAGAGCTCCATAGCATTGCAAGCGCAGCTGGCCGGTTGCAAAATGCCAACCCCGGTTCGCTGCTTGGTTGACAGCCCTCCGGAAGGCGCCAACCCACAGAGCTGCCGCTCTTTGCTGCCGAGCCTCCACGGTGACAGCGCGGAGCTCAAGATTTCGTTGCTGCATGGTGCTGCGCGTCTGGCTCCCTGCCCAGAAATAAGCATGGAAATCATGGAACCTGAAAGAGTGCTTTTGATAGAGGAAATTGTCTTCCTGTGAATTTCCGACTGCACGACAGCATGCGCGTTGGCGGCATGTCATGCGGCACGTTTGCTTTTCGGGCATCTGGGCCCGACTTGCGTATAGCGCGCTGAGCCCATGAGTTTCTTTCGAGAATCAGCGTTATTGCAGCGATGCACGCCTTGATCGCAGTTGGCAGCGGAGCCAGCATGAGGCTGAGCACTTCAGGATGAGCTCTGACCTCGATTCGGCCGAGCTCTTCGGTTTCCACTTGCGGCGGTTTCGGCCCTACAGCTGAGGAGTGCTCCGCATTCTTTTCTTACATGTGCGCCATGAGAGATCTTAGGGGCTCCAGGGAAGACCTCCAGCACATCTGCCTGTGACCTCGCCCTCGTGAAAGTGCTTCCATCCATCATCTTCTTCCATCCATCATCTTCAGCTCGGCTTGCAAGATGCTGTGTGCCTTCCGGATGTCAGCGCAGATACGTTGTCTCTGTTCTTTTTCCATGCGAACTCCGCGGTCGCTCCCTCGCAGGCGGCCTTCGCCTTGCCCTTGGCCGCGCAAATCTATCTGAAGATGCGCCGCAGGCGTCACGATGTTGTCCGAGCAGGGCAATAAGCCCGAGAAACCGGCTGAGCCAGTTTCCATGGCTGCACCTCAGGCGCTGGCTGTGCGACCCGCGCATGTTGCCGTGCCTCTCTCCCATGCGTTGGGTCGCTGGTGAAGCTTTTTGCCAGCTGGTTCTTGCCACCGGACACGTTGGCCAGGCGCTTGAGCGCAGCTTGAGCTGCTCCTCACTAAAGTCAGGCTCTTGATGCCATTCCCAGCTTTACCATTCGGCGCATGGACCGTAGCGATTGAAGACCACTAGCATGAGCTTGATCACCACTGTCCACAACTTCATTGCGAAAAGCTGTGAGAATGAACACCTCGGCCGGAACTCCAGTTGGCAACTGGAGGGGCAAGCTGGTTGTTTCTGAGGGCCGAATGATCATGAATCCAATTGAGCGGCGCCTGCAAGTTCAACCGGCTGACAAGCATGTTCATGTTGACCAAGTCGATCACGCAACCCATGTTCTGAAGCATAGGGTTGCTTGCAAAAAAACAAAAGGCGTCAGCCTCCAAAACGCCTTCCAAGAAGAATGGCAGGTAGGCAATGTAGAGGGCAGTCTTGACTACTGAAATGTGTTCATTGGGGGATCTGCTTGACCGAAAGTCTACAGATTTGCAACTTCTTCTCGTGGCTCGTGATCCGGTCCCGCCTGCACATGCTCTGACAGGCAGTGTCAATAACCATGTGACCGGCAAAGTCCACGGTGTTGGACGGGTGGATCTGGAATGCCTTCGCAACAACACCGCGCGCGTCGATGACGGTGGTAGGAGTTGGGAATCGTGCGAGAAAGGGTTGAAATGCCTTACTTTTGTGGACTATGCCACCGGATACGACCTCCACAAGTCGGAGGACAGAGCCATTGTCACCACCGGCATCGTGCGCTTCCGAAAGCTCTGTTTGATTATGGGCCTCGACTGCAATGAATGGTGCATTCTGCAGGACAGCGTGAACTACGTGCAGTGCTGCGGAAGAAGACGTTGTTCTTGGAGCAGGCTCTGGTCGAAGGGCGCTCCTGTCCAGCATCGCAACCACCATGGCGGTGCTGCCGGATTACGGTAGCTCCGCCCGCTCCCAGCCTGGGCGGGAGTTCAGCTTGTGCACCAGCCCTTTCCTCTGCAGCTCTGTCGCCACCAGCGCAGCGGAGTCGCCAACTGCGGGGGGAACGCCCAACAGGCGTTGCCGTGGCAATTTCAACCAAGTCGGGACTGGTGCGTTCAGCAACTTGAATTTGAACGTTTCTTCCTGATCGAGAGCCCGATAACCAGTCGGTTGCGGCTGGCAAAATCCATCAGGAAGCTTGCTACCTGGTGCTAGTGGACGAGAGGTCATCAGCCTGATCCTTTGATTGGAAAGCCCGCTTGTGCACTTGTCTCCCCGCTTGTACGCCTGCCTGTTCTTTTTGACTTGGACACTTACTGGCGCGTGCAATTTTGGCAGCCACTACGGTTTGCTGACGCCGGACGCTTGAGTAGGCGAAACGGGCCAGAGGCAACCTTTCGAGAAGTACAGTAAGCTACTAGTTACACTCCCTGGAATTAAACAGGAACCTCCAAAGCTTTTTTTTTTGCAGGTTAGTCGAAAAAACGAAGCTTTTGATAAATGCTAACGTAGAAGTCCCTGGGGTTTTTTGGTCGGCTTCCGCATTTCAGAACACGCAGCTGACTTCCGACGATGGTTTGGGCAACGGCTCCCTCAAACCCTCAAAAACCCTAAACCCCCCCCCCCCTAACACAAACCGAACTCCCCCCACACCCTTCCAGAACTGGCCCAGAACCCCACCTAGGTACGCCGTACAACTGGGCATGTGGGGGTGAGATTGACTCGGAAACAGCATTTTTTAGCATTAGCGGGCGGACACACCGTAATTTTAAGCGACCGGGGAAATGCCGCTTCACGACTTTTGCCGCTTCGCGACTTTTCTCAGGGATATGCGAAACCGCTCCTAACACTTCAAGGTTAAGCACACGTGTTCTCCTTTACATGGAAGTGCAGGGCCCATTTTCAGGTTCTATGTTAGGATACTTTCGTCGGTCAGAACGTGTGTTTTCACTCTCGTTTTTTCGCTTACATGGAAGTGCAGGCTCGAAACCGGCCCCCCGAAGAATCTAGGTTTGTTTTGGGAAACCCCAGGATTGCCGTGGCGAGGGGCACCTGGCACAGATTCTATGTTAGGAGATGGTCGTACCTTCCCAGTAAAAAAAAAGACTGGCATTTCCCCAGGAAAAGACGGTGAAGGGACTTCCATGTTAGAGGGACTTCTGAGAGCACGGACTTCCTGTTTAATTCCAGGGAGTGTAGTCGAACGTTTCCGGACGTAACCCGGGCGGAGCGTGTCGGCTTACTCAAGTGCCCAGGTATTCAATTGGAAACGCCGTATGTCATTTTGTAGAACGAAGTTCGGCAACTTTTGCATTTTGTAAAGCTTGGGCTTGGTTGAAGCCGTGTTAGCTTCCCCAATGACGCCACCAAGCAGCTTGACTTCGATATGTGGCCTTTTTGTCAAGCAACTAAGCACCAACAATTTCCCTCCAATCTATTTGGGATGCTGGTAGGATCTAGAGCCAACCCCTAGCTTAAGTGACAGCCGTTTGTAATGAGCACTTGGTGACCCGTTTTGCCATCCCTTGATCCCGCCTTTCGCACCTCAACCGTCCCCGGAAGGGTGGGGTGGGAATGGCAATGCTATAGCTTCGACGTTACACAATGAGGTGGTTTGGAGAAAGAAAAGAAAACGAAACCGGCACAGAACATACGTTTCGAGCGCTGAGGCCGCGAGATCCTGATGGCTGTCCTTTGAGCCTGGCAGGGCTGCATTGTGCACGGCTTGCGTCGGGGTTCAAGATACATGGTGTTGTTTTTTTGTCTATGGGACGGGCAATTTTGGATGAGCTTCGGCCTTAGCGGGGACCCAAAATGGCAGTCAGTCAAACATATGTACCCAACATGGGAACCCTGGTAAATGG